TGATGGGAGCCAAGAAAATAAAGCTGATATATTTAACAATTTTAATTTGGATCATATGGTGGAAAGGGTGAAAATCGGGGCAAGTCCCTGTGCCAGGGTTCTGATCTCATCTGCTTGGGAAAGTGAAGGCTTTTCAAGATGGTACCATGCTGAGTTCCCCTCACCCTGCAGTGCCCTAAAGCTTCCATATAAATTTAGAGTGTGAAAGCTGTGAGGGTTTTCTCAGGCAAGCTGTGTTAAGCTCTGTAGGGCATGGACTGCCCATGCACTTTGGGGTAGTACAGGACCTGTCACATTTGGCCTTGCACTCCAGGACCACAATAATCAAGGAGATCTCCTGTGATGCTGTGGTGGAAGCAGGAAAAATGAAACCTGAACCCAGACCTCTATGGCTACAGGAAATGAACCACCATGATTTTCTCTCTTCCAAATGATGATAGCCATGTTTTCTGTAGAATATAACAGCCAGCAGTGTGTTACATGAATATTCATATCATACCCTCCTAATTGCATCAGTTTTGGCAATCATAAAGTCTTGTGGATGTGACCCAGAGCAGTTTTCCATATTGTGCCAGCCCTGGGCAGCCGTTGCCATTGACTTGTGACATCTCTCATGTGTCAGTTTCTCCAGGCTGGGCACATCCTGCAGCGGTGGCCATGGGCTGTGCAGGGTGGCTGTGCTGATGGACAGCCTGTCCCCTGCAGTGCCAGCTGAGTGGAGCTGGTGCACCGGACAGGGAATTGGTGCTGGCTGTCACATTGTCAGGAGTTTCATAGAAATGGACGAGGGGATCTTCAGTGGGGTTCCCTGTGGCTGTGGTGTTTTGAGTGGTAATATCTGTAGGTGCTGTGTTTTGCCCGCTGAGCCTTGTGGCATGGGAGGTTGTGAGTGATGAAAGTTGCACTGCATATGGGAAACAAGAAGGATCTTCCAGGGTTTTCCTGTGAAAGGGATCAGGACTTTCAGGTTAAAGAATGTAATTCATGAGCAGCAGAGGTGGAAGGAGGGACATGTAGCTATTCTGTCCTTTCAAGGCCTTTCACAGGGGAGATATGTCCAGCAGAGCTGCTTACGGCCTTCCCCTGGACCGGAGCTGCTGGTAGAAGTGATCAATATCAATTAAGGTTAAGTTTTCAAATGCTGGCACTATTTTATATTTCACCTGTTGTGATGGGTTGACCTCAGACAAAAGCCAGAACTCCTGTTAGCTGGGGATTTCACTGAGGCAGAGTGCACTGGGCCAAGCGGAAAACAGGCTTGAAAATCTCATGGATCATGGTAATGGCAGGGAGATTATTTACTGTCATGGACAGAAGAGTCCTGAGAAGAACAAAATCAAGTTATTTATTGACTGTTGGAAATATTGTAGATGGATAAGAAATTAACAGAAATTTAGTACCTGCTGCCTCTACCTTCCCCTTCTTCCTCGGATCAATTTGCCACCTCTTTCCCAGGTTCTCTACATCTTTCCCTTACTTCAGTGCAGAGGGATGGGGAATGGGGGTTGCAGTCAGTTCATAACAAGTGGTCTCCTTCACTCTTTCCTGGCACTCTTCCCCTGCTCTGGCACTGCTCCCTCCCTTGGGCTGCAGTCCTTCAGCATGAGCTGATTGCAGTGTGGCCTGTGCATGGGCTGCCATCCTTCAGGATACACCCACCCCACCTGTTGTGCTGTGGGGTTCTCCTGGGGCTGCATGTGCCTCTCCTTTTCACTGTAGACCTCAGAGATTCTCTACCACCTCCACTCCTCAGGACCACAGGAGGACAGGGAGTGGGTGCTGTAGTCAGTTCATAAAAAGTTGTGTCCTAGTTGCCTCACCATGGCCCTCTTCCCAGGCTGCAGGGGAATTCTTTCTTCAGCACATGGAGCAACCTATCCTCTCCCTTCCTTGGTCCTGTTCTTCAGGACTGTCTCTCACAATATTCCTGAGTCCTCACTGCTGGGACATGTTCCATCCATAACTGGACTTCAATGCGCAGAAGGCCACAATTGTTTCAGGATACAGTCCTGGAAAACAGAATGAAATCTCCTCAGGCCAGGTGTCATGAACTTGTTATGGAAATATTAATTCAACTCCAAATGCTTCCTAGCTCCAGAAGGTGGACAGAGCTGCTTACGATCAACCTCTGGACCTGAGCTGGTGACAGAAATGACCAGTTTGGGTTCTGCTGTTTTCTTGCTGGAACTATTTTATATTTCACCTGCTTTGGAGGATTGACTTTGTGCAGCTGTCAGATTCCCACCCAGCTGCTCCTTCACTCTCACCTACAGGAAGGGCAGGGGTGGAAAACAGGCTTGAAAATCTCATGGATCATGGTAATGGCAGGGAGATTATTTACTGTCATGGACAGAAGAGTAGCTCTATGGCTACAGGAAATGAACCACCAGCATTTTCACTCTTCCAAATAATGATAGCCATGTTTTCTGTGGGATATAAGAGCCAGCAGTGTGTTTCATGAATATTGATATCACATCCTCCAAATTGCGTTATTTTTGGCCATCATAAAGTCTTGTGGATGTGACCCACAGCAGTTTTCCATACTGTGCCAGCCCTGGGCAGCCGTTGCCATTGACTTGTGACATCTCTCATGTGTCAGCTTCTCCAGGCTGGGCACATCCTGCATCTGTGGCCATGGGCTGTGCAGGGTGGCTGTGCTGATGGACACGCTGTCCCCTGCAGTTCCAGCTGAGTGGGGCTGGTGCACAGGACAGGGATTGTGTCCTGGCTGTCACATTGTCAGGGGTTTCACAGAACTGGACGAAGGGATCTTCAGTGGGGTTCCCTGTGGCTGTGGTGTTTTGTGTGGTAACATCTGCAAGGTGCTGGGTTTTACCTGCTGAGTCTGGTGTCATGGGAGGTTGTGAGGGGTGGATAAGGCACTGGATGTAGGAAATAAGTTGGATCTTCCAGGGTTTTCCTGTGAAAGGGATCAGGACTTTGAGGTTAAAGGATGTAATTCATGAGCAGCAGCAGTGGAAGAAGGGATGTGTGGCTGTTCCTGTCGTTTCAAGGCCTTTCAGAAGGGGGATGTTTCCAGCAGAACTGCTTACGACCTTCCCCTGGACCTAAGCAGCTGGTGGAAGTGGTCAGTTGAGGTGAATTTTGTAAATGCTGACACTATTTTGTGTTTCACCTGCTGTGATGGGTTGACCTCGAGATAAGCCAGACCTCCACCGAGGTGTTCCTTGTCTCTCACCCGCAGTAAGGGCAGGGGTGAAAAATGGGATAGAAAAATGTATGGTTCGAGATAAACGCAGGGGGAACACTCACCAGTTACTGTCATGGACAAGATGTCTTTGACATCAGAAAAATGAATTTAATTTTTTGAAATATAGAAAACAGAACTGGAAAATGAGAAAGAAATAGAAAAGTTGATCTCACTGCCTGCACACCGGTTTCATCCCAGGCTCAACTTCACTCCACCATCCCCAGCTCCTCCACCTCCTCCCCAACAGCACCACAAGGGCAAGTCAAACCGGGGCTGATGTCAGCACTTAACAAGTTGTGTCCTGCACTCCTGACTCTTCAAGAGTTGTTTCCCTGATTCAGAGCAAAGCCTGTTAGCTGGGTGTTTTACTAAGGCAGAGTGCACTGGGAAAAGCCAATCCCATCTCCAGGTGAGGCCAGCAGAGCAGTCCCACAGAGCAGGCAATGCTGTCCTTGCAGGCAGTGGGGCACAGGGTTGTGTTCTAGTGTTGCATATGTTTCTGTTCCATTAAGAGTACAGAAATCTGGCTGAAAATACAGCCCCTGTTGGTCCTCAGAGATGAAGGGGCATGGGTGCAGCTCAGCTTAATTTCTGATTATGGCAAACTCAAGATGTAAGTCTTGTCATGTTGAATAAGAACTTTCAGAGTCACAGAATCACAAATCATGCACTTTATTGTAGAAATAGAAACCTGGAATTCCTACTAATGAATACACTCACTGGATTAGCTCTAAAATCATTTAAGGAAAAAAGAAGAAAATAAGGAAGAGCAATGGGTAATTCATGAAGCTCAACTTCAGCACCAGTGAAGCCTACGAAGTAGAATTTCACCAGGGTACAGAGTCAGAAGACAAAATCTTTACACAGAGCTGTTTCCTGCTTTGGGGAGAAGAGCAAAGCAATCCTGTTATCCTGTCTTGTCACTGAAGTCATATTCCCATCCTCTGCCAGGGAGGATTTGAAATGCCAAATGTGTACTTTTGGGAGAAATGCAGGTGAGGCTGCAGTGACAATCCCTTACTGCTGCCATGGTCAATGGGTGTGGGCAGGCAGCTGCTGTGGAGGTGAGGGATAGCCAGGGTTCAGATTGCCAAGGCTGTGAGTCTTGGGCAGGGGCTGAACACTTAATTAGCATCAGTCCCTCTTCCACTGGGCTCAGGCAGAGCTAAAGGGGCTCTGCCTGATGATCCATCACCCCAGCAGCACACTCTCATTGATCCCACATTAATCCCTTCACCACACAGGGGCTTAGGCATTCTTCCTACCATGATGAGGTCCTAAATGACTTTGCTAAAAACAAAAATATATCTGAAAGATTTACATAACTTGACATACTATAATAATATATTTAGCTCATAATAATTTAGCTTTGTAGATATGAATTAAGTTTTCTTAACTTGCTTGTTGAAGGTTGAACATGAGTTTCATCTACACTGCCTAGACAGCTGCATCAAAAACTAAATTTCTTGTTTTCTACAGTGGAAATCAACATTTTGTGTGGGGTCCAGCTTTTATCACAGATCCTATTTCATAAAAAAGTCACATTTCACCCAGGAGAGAAACTTCATCAGTGTCTTTTCTAGCTTGGGGTTGCTGAAAATCAGAATAAGGGAATGAACACCTGGAAATGCAAACAAATATATGTTTATAAGGAATGTCATGATATTTTCTTTCTTCGTGACATAAAATATTGACAAGACCAAACATACAAAGTTGATGCTGTACATCACTAAGAAGGAGAGGACAGATTTCATGGCTCTGATGTGAACATCCATGCTGAGGTCCTTCATGGAGTTTGTCTGCATCCTGCACTTGTGTCTCCAGAGAGAAAAGAGAAGGCAAACAGCAGAAAATATGACTACCATGAATGAAGCAGCATATCCAAAGCCAGCGAGAAAAAGTGATAAGAAAAAATGTTTATCCATTCTGAATCTTGCTTCCAAGAAATTTTCCTGGCTGGTGATATTGTGGTTTTCCCTCTGTACAGTTTCAATGAGGTCAGAGACAATGATGCCCATAGCCAAGGCTAAAGTCTCTGATCCCAACAGAAGCCAAGGCACCATCCTGTCAATTTTTACTTTCAGGTAGATGAAGAGCCTGTTCCTGAAATTGGCAATTTTTATGCAATAGAAACCACAAAGACAGGCTGAGACCCACAAGTTGGAATAATTTAAGAAATTTGCAAAAGATGCAAGGAGATGACGCATGGATTGAACATGAAGGAAATTGGAATAGATTATTGAAATGAATTGGTATACCCATGCAATGCATAACAAGGAAATCCTGGAGCATCCCAGCAGCAGCAAGATCTTCTCATTGGAGTTCAAGGTTTTCTTTTTGACCCAGGCAATGCAAGGGGTGCAACAAACAGCAGAGATGTTTTTGTGTGGTGGGGAGGGTTGTGATTTTGAGAGTGATCCCTGTTTGATCAGTGTCAGGCTTCAGGATCTGGGTTCTTCTGTCCCTTTTTTGTCCATGATGATCCTGCAGAGCCCTGGCTTTGCCCAGGAGAGAATGGTCAAGGGACTCTGTCCTTTTTAGTCTGAGAGTCTGGATGCTGCAATATTCAGCCCAGATGCTGGAAAAGTGGAGTTTATTTTGATGCTTCACAGGCATTGAAACCCATGTTTGCATTACTAATGGCTTGGCGTTAAGAGCAATTGATGAGCCCCATAGTGGGTCAGGTGATGAAAGCCAAGAAAATAAAGCTGGTATTTTTAAGAGTTTTGATTTGGATCATATAGAGGAAAAGGGTGAAAATCGGGACAAGTTCCTATGTCAGGGTTCCGATCTCATCTGCTTGGAATAGTGAAAGCTTTTAAAGATGGCACCATGCTGAGTTCCCCTAAAACTGCAGTGCCCTAAAGCTTCCATATGAATTTAGAGTGTGAAAGCTGTGAGGTTTTTCTCAGGCAAGGTGTATTATGCTCTGTAGGGCATGGACTGCCCGTGCAGTTTGGGGTAGTACAAGACCTGTGATATTTGGCCTTGCACATCAGGACCACAATAACCAAGGAGATCTCCTGTGGTGCTGTGGTGGGAGCAGGAAAAATGAAATCCCAACCAAGAGCTCTATGGCTACAGGAAATGAACCACCAGGATTTTCTCTCTTCCAAATAATGATAGCCATGTTTTCTGTGGGATATGAGAGCCAGCAGTGTTTTACATGGATATTCATATCACATCCTCCTAATTGTTTTATTTTTGTCCATCATACAGCCTTGGAATGTGACCCAGAGCAGTTTTCCATAGCGTGCCAGCCCTGGGCAGCCATTGCCATTGACTTGTGACATCTCTCATGTGTCAGCTTCTCCAGGCTGGGCACATCCTGCAGCTGTGGCCATGAGCTGTGCAGGGTGGCTGTGCTGATGGACACGCTGTCCCCTGCAGTGCCAGCTGAGTGGAGCTGGTGCACAGGACAGGGATTCTGTGCTGGCTGTCACATTGTCAGACATTTCACAGAAATGCTAGAAGGGATATACAGTGTGGTTTACTGAGGCTGTGGTGTTTGGTGTGGTAACATTTGTATGCGCTGTGTTTTGCCTGCTGATGTGGCACAGCCTCTTGTGGCAAGTAAGGTTGTGAGTGATGAATGTTGCACTGCATATAAGAAGTAAGAAGGACCTTCCACAGCTTTCCTGTTAAAAGGGATCAGGACTTTCAGGTTAAAGGATGAAATTCATCAGCAGCATCAGTGGAAGAAGGGACATGTGGCTGTTCTGTCCTTTCAAGGCCTTTCACAGGGGAGATGTGTCCAGTAGAGCTTCTTACGGCCTTCCCCTGGACCTGAGCTGCTGGTAGAAGTGATCAATTAAGGTTAAGTTTTTTAAATGCTGGCACTATTTTATATTTCACCTGTTGTGATGGGTTGACCTCAGTGAGAAACCAGAACTCCTGTTAGCTGGGTGTTTTAC